TCCATCCCATCCCATCCCATCCCATCCCTTCCATCCCATCCCATCCCATCCCATCCAATCCAATAGAATTCTTGCCTCCCTTTTATGGTGAAACATGGAATATTTCTTTCTTTATGAATTTTATATGGCCACCTAACTCACCCAAGGATGACTTCAGATGGTTTCTCCCTCATCCAAGGGCTATTCCTTTGAGCACGTCCCCTGATCTATGGGCAGATGGCAGGAGATCATCCTGTGAAACTGACATCTTCTCAAGGCAGCAAGGGAGTGAGGCCAGTTTCTGCCAGTGTCAATACTTGGATCACTTCATACCGTAGTAAATCTTCAGTAAATTGTTTGGCTTTGGCTTCAGCCACCATGACTTTAGCTCAATATGTGAGCCTAAACGAATTATGTTTTTTTAAAAAACCCATCTTGGTTTCGAATGAACACTGATTTAATTTGATCCGTTCTAAAGATACTGAAGGGACGTGGTGGCTCAGTGGCTAAGATGCCGAGCTTGTTGATCAGAAGGTTGGCAGTTCAGCGGTTCAAATCCCTAGTGCCGCATAACAGGGTGAGCTCCCATTACTTGTCCCAGCTTCTGCCAACCTAGCAGTTCGAAAGCATGTAAAAAAATGCAAGTAGAAAAATAGGGACCACCTTTGGTGGGAAGGTAACAGCATTCTGTGTGCCTTTGGCGATGAGTCATGCTGGCCACATGACCATGGAGACATCTTCAGACACCACTGGCTCTTCGGCTGTGAAACAGAGATGAGCACCGCCTTCTAGAGTCGGGAACGACTAGCACATATGTGCAAGGGGAACCTTTACCTTTTATGGGGAATAATGAAAAAGTAGGTGGAGAAACATCGTCCATCCTCAGGTCATCCCATGAAACTAGTTTCATAAGAGATTCCACATGAGAAATGCTTGTTGATTTTGTACGGTCCACAGTCTTAAACAAATGGAAATGATTCACGTTTCACATTTCATATATCCATGTTGGACTGCAGGAAGGATTTAGGTGTCACCCTTCTCCAAATTCAGGGTGATCCTGGAATCCAACTTTATGGATCAAGTACAGATTTTGTAGAGCTGCATTTACCTGATCCCTTTGGTGGGAAGTTAACAGCGTTCCGTGCACCTTAGGCGTTGAGTCATGCCAGCCACATGACCACGGAGACGTCTTCGGACAGCGCTGGCTATTCGGCTTTGAAACGGAGATGAGCACCGCCCTCTAGAGTTGGGAACGACTAGCACATATGTGTGAGGGGAGCCTTTACCTCTTACCTTTACCTAAAGATACTGAATTTCAAGATGGCCATTGAATGGCTTCAACACCAATGGAATCTATTTGGACTTAACCGCATCTTGTGTGGTCCACTAATTGGAATAAAAACCATTTTTTAAAAAAAGCGATACTTTCTTTTTCTGGTCAAGGACAGGTCAAAGCATGACTGTTTCCATCCCATCATCTCTCCAGCATTCAGACAGTGTCGAGACTGTGGTTGTAAACTATTGAAGGCATCTCTGCCCTGCTTAAGGGCTTTTTCCCCCCTCTGCTTTCTAAATCAAATGCCACTGCACTGCAGCGACGTGCATTTCTATTAGCAAAATCCTGCTTCTTTTGGGTCTGTTTTTCCGTTGTCTGCCTACCTCCCCATTTTGATTGACGGCTAAGCCCTCAGCAAATAACCCAGCATTTCGACGTGACTGCAGATTCGTCATGAAATCAAAGCGCCTTTGTTTTCATATCCATATGTAAGCGCTTTTTCTCCCCCTTTTCCACCCCCGTTAAAGATCAGAGGTGCACAGGCCAGGTGTCTTTCTCAACGAAGCCGCCTTCCTCGTTGTTGGGGAAATCTGTTGAGAGCCACGGAGATGTCAGCAGTGGTAATTATGCACAGCTTTTTACTGTAGTGACGGCGAGAGTCAGTCGAGCATTGTTGAGAGAAGTGACACCAAGTCCTGCTGGTGCCATTTATATGTGCAGAAAAGAGAAGGCACGTTCAACGGTGACGTGTAAAATGAGCCCTGAGGTCTGGAAGCAAATGCTAATCAAATATCAAACACTTCATTATCAGATTATCGAGCATGTGAACGGAGGCCCTTCCTTCACCGCATTCTGAACGTGCAGGTGGTCCTTGACGCAACGACCATCGCTGAGTCCAAAATTTCTGTCGCTAAAGCGAGACAGTTGCTAAGCGAGTTGGGTCCCATTTTATGACCTTACTTGCCGCAGTTGTTAAGTGAATCGCCACAGGGTGTTTTTTTGAATTTTTTTTTCTCATAAACATGTCTTACAGTAAATGCACAGTCTCTTATCCATTGTGAATCATACATATTCTCTTTTAACTTTCATATTAGTTCATTCTTCATCCTAAAAAAATTGAGTATATTCGGGGTTGCTGTTCTCCCATTCCATCTCTCTTATTTTACAGTAATCCTTCTTCTCCTTCTCCTCTCTTTCCCTTCCCTCCCTTCTTCTATCCTCTTCTACTTTCTTCTTTTCTCCTCTCCTTCCCCTTCTCTCCTTTCCCTTCCTTTCCCCCACTTCTCTCTTCTTCCTCCCTTTCTAACCTTTTCTCTTACTCTTATTTCCCCTCCCTTTGTTCCTCTCCTTTTCCCTTTCTTCTGTTCCTCTCTCTCCTTCCTCTCTTCTCCCCTCCTATCTATCTGAATCACCACAGTTCTTAGTAGAGATAGCACTTAGATTTATATACAGCTTCACAATGCTTTATAGTCCTCTCTAAGTGGTTTACAGAGTCAGCATATTGGGCCCCCAACAATCTGGGTCCTCATTTTGCCAACCGAGGAAGGATGGAAGGCTGAGTCAACCTTGAGTTGGTCAGGACTGAACTGCTGGCAGTGGTCAGAGTCAGCCTGCAATACTGCATTGTAACCACTGTACCAGAGCTCTTGAGATCGATAGATAGATACCGATAGATAGGCAAGGCAGGCAGGCAGGCAGACAGGCAGGCAGGCAGGCAGAATGAGTGAATGAGTGAATGAATGAATGAATGAATGAATGAATGAATGAATGAATGAATGAATGAATATAGGCAGCTAGAGAGACAGACAGACAGGCAGTGACAGATATTGTAGATAGGCAGAGGATAGATAGAGATAGATAGAGTGATATATGATGGATGATAATTACCAGTAGCACTTAGACTTGGGGTTTTAAATTTGGGTAGCCAATGATTTAATTCTTTTAATTATCTTAACTTTTGCATTGGTATGTTTTTTAATTTTGGCTGTTCACCACCCTGAGTCCCTTCTGGGAGAAGGGCGGTATACAAATTAAATTAATAAATAATAAATAAATAAATATATTCTGCTTCACAGTGCTTTACGGCCCTCTCTAAGCAGTTTACAGAGTCAGCCTCTTGCCCCCAACAATCTGGGTCCTCATTTTACCGACTTAGAGAGAGAGGGCTGTAAAGCACTATAAAGCAATATACAAGTCTAAGACTCGTAAGTGCTATTGCTATCACTATTTTATGGCCTTCTTGTGAGCCGTGATGGCAAGCCACCAGAAGAAGTCCTTCACATCTCCAAACGGTGGCAGGAAGCAAGAGAGGATGATCAGACAACCATTCCCTGAAGAATCTCTGCTAATCTGTTCCAATAACTCTGCTGATGCGGGGATATTGTTTATACAACTGAGTGATGACAGCCCGAAAAATCATCTGTCCTCGCTATTGATTTGCCTTGTTTAGTGTTACTGCACCTAATCAATAACCCCCCTGAAGACTCGTGTCCTAATGGCTTACAGCGTTCGGCCTCTTCGGTACATTTTCAACTGTCCAGCAAGTGGAATCAATACCCTGAAAATGCTCTTCCATGCTCATCCTTATGAAAAGTTTGTATTTCTCAATGTGAGTTTGTGCTAATAAATGGCTTTTCCAATATGCTGAGTGTTTTGTGTGTTTTTTTTCTTCTTCTTCAATCTAGTGCTCCATTCAACTATGCAGATTTTGCACAAGCCCCCCCAAGACAGCTAGGAGAACTTTTTAAATCATGGGTGAATTGACTAAAGGGGCTAAATACATCTTTCGAAGGAAGCCATGCAGATAATACTAGAAGCGACTAAATAGTTCCAAATAGGCCACTTAGCAAATAGGCTTGCCCTTCCTCTCAAGAATTCTCTTGGTTCGTCATGCTTGATCTCGGATTGTAGAAGTTCCTTCTTGGAATGCTAGAGGAGGTTCTGATAGGACAAACAGCTTTAAAACTACCAGAGATGACATCCTGTCCTTGCCCTTCTTCCTACAGGTTCTCTAGAGCTAAAAAAAAATGCCATGCATCATGAAATCTGGAATAAAATGTATCAGTGGTTGTAGAGGAGGAGGAATGTCTGGATAAAGAAATAATGATAAGTCGAGAGTTGGAAAATTATTATGTTATATTATGTGATAGGAATTGTATTGGTATTGAAAGTAATTTTCACAGACAAAGAGATTTACGTGTCTGAATTTTGATAGACTGTACAAATTTATATATCGAATATGAATTGTATTTCTTGTAAGGTAAAACTTGATGGAAATGTTGGAACCAGAAAAGTTGCACTGTGTCCAATGTTTTTAACTGTATATTTAATAAAAAACTTTTTTTAAAAAAAGATTCCTGCTGGTCACCGATTTTGATGTGCTTGCTCAGAAATTATTATTATATAATAATAATATATATTCCCAGGGAAATAACAAAAATACCACATTTGAATGGACTGGGTGAGTTTGCAGAGCCAACTATATCCGGCACTTTACAAAAACGACACAAGTCAATAGGCAGCGTTAATTTTTATGGTGTGTATGCTATCGCACATTGATTGTTCCAAGTCCTTGTATTTGTTTGACTAATCATCTTCTTGGTCCAACAGGGAGTTTTTGGCACAACACTTATCTGTTGTACTCTGTTTCTGATAAACTACTGATTAATTTTTAATACTACCACGGCTCAATGCTGCATGAAAATTCTACTCTTTTAATTGGGATCTTTTTCTTCTTTAATTACAGAAGGGACAAATCAAGTTACGTCTACATAGTTGATCAGAAGGAAGGGCTCAGAATTGACTGCTTCCCACCGAGCACTAAACCTTAAATGTAAGTTAATAAAGTTAATGAACGCAGGAACTGTGTTCTTATAACAAATGATATTCAGGCAAATAACTACGGGATGCCTTAATATGGCAATTTGGCTCACACATCAGAGTAAGACAAAGGCTGAGTGCCTTCAACAAATTATCCCATCTAGAACTGAATCCCCTTTTTTTTACAATTAGATCACAATCATAAGAGTGAATGAAGGTTGTGTAATCTGATATGATGCCCTGACCCCCATGATTCCTGGTTTCATGTAGGAATATCCTCTAACTGCAGACCTGATGCCTCCATCAGCCTTCTAAGAATGGGTTCCTAGGTTGAACTGCTAAAATGAGGTAGGGTCTCCGCAGGGGTGGGTTCTAAAATTTTCTACTACTGGTTCTGTGGGTGTGGCTTATTTTGTGGGCATGGCTTGATGGTCATGTGACAATTGTTTAGGATTTAGCAGAGGTACTGGTCTACCAGGCTTTTAACTGCTTAACTGCCAGTTCGGTGACGTCATATCGTCATCGCTACCGGCTCGGGAGAACTGGGCCGAACTGGGAGGAACCCACCACTGGGTCTCCGGCATAAGGAGAAACCATGGTGGGGCAGTGGTTAGAATGCAGTATTGCCGGCTAATTCAGTTCACTGCCAGGAGTTCGATCCTAACCGGCTCAAGGTTGATTCAGCCTTCCATCCTTCCGAGGTTGGTAAAATGAGGACCCAGATTGTTGGGGGCAAGAGGCTGACTCTGTAAACTGCTTAGAGAGGGCTGTAAAGCACTATGAAGCGGTATATAAGTCTAATTACTATTGCTATTCCTTCCTTCCTTCCTTCCTTCCTTCCTTCCTTCCTTCCTTCCTTCCTTCCTTCCTTCCTTGTTGGTACAATAGTTAGAATGCAGTATTGCAGGCTCTGCCCACTGCCAGCAGTTCAATCCTGACCGACTCAAGGTTGACTCAGCCTTCCATCCTTCCTTGGTTGGCAAAATGAGGACCCAGATTGTTGGGGGCCCAATATGCTAACTCTGTAAATCACTTAGAGAGGACTATAAAGCACTGTGAAGCTGTATATAAGTCTAAGTGCTATTGCTGTTGTTACTATTGGACTAGAAGTCCTCCAAGGTCCCTTCCAACTTTTATTCGGTTTTATCATGAATTTCCATCTCAGGTCCTCAAAAGTACTACTGTTATGCAAAGTTATTTTACATGAGGTCTTCTAATGGTGTTGAAGTCCAGCTCCATTTAATGGTGACCTGGTGGAAAACAAGGAAAACTGGTGGAGAGCAAGGATCAAGGAAAAGAAAGGCTAGGCCAAGGGTGGGCAATTATGCCATCTTTATGATCTGTGGACTTCCTGCTGGCTCAGGAATTCTGGGAGTTGAAGTCCATCCCTGGGCTAAACTATTTTCCCCCCTCTCTTCTAAAAACAGCCCGAGATATAACATTGCGGGAAGAAAATTAAAAATGCTTTCAAAATACCACAAATCATACCATGGGGAAGTTGATCTTTTCTTGGGAAGGGGGGAGTGGAGTATATACTTGATACTATTATTTTTATTGATTGATCTTTTGCATATTATATCTTCTAGAGAGTGAACAGGGGACTGGCTTCAGGTGGCATAAATCTATATTTATTTTCCCTCTCTATCTCCTCATTTTTCTTACAGGAAGGGAAAACAGTTTACGATCGAGTTCAAGATAACAGCATAATGCAAACAATAAACAGCCTAAACTAAAACCGTTAGACTCAACAAGGAAAAAAATGTAGCCTGCTAAGTCCCATCAGCAGTATTAAAAACTGTAAAATTCCCATAGAGGCCAATTAGTTGCTTTGAGAAGAGCACAAGGGTGTAATAACATTTCTTCTGTATGCGTTCGCTTGCTATCAGTATTCAAAGGCAGATTGTCTTAGGTGGCAGATGCTAGTATAGAGCCATTCTGATTTGTGGTGCCCATTGTAAGGTATAGTTTAAAATCAGGGTTTTTCAACTTCTGCAAGTTTAAGATGGTGGACTTCAAGTCCCAGAATACCTCTAGCTATTATGGGGAAATTGAGCCACTGGGAGTTGAAGTCCTCCCAACGTAAACACGCAAAAGTTGAGAAGCACTGGTTTAAATCACAAATGAACTAAAAAGCTTGTGTTCCTACCGTATACTAAATCAGGCTCATCCCTGCCTCCAGGGGTGCTGTTCAGCAGGTTCTGACAGGTTCTGGAGAACCGGCTGCGGAAATTTTGAGTAGTTTGGAGAACCGGCAAATACCACCTCTGGCTGGCCCCAGGGTGGGGTGGGAATGGAGATTTCGCAGAATCCTTCCCCTTCCATGCCCACCAAGCCATGCCCTCCCAGCCACACCCACAGAACCGGTAGTAAGAAAATTTGAATTCTACCACTGCCTCCCTCCCTCTAAAATTAGCCAAGCTTAATGAGTTGAGTGGTTAATGTAGGCCTCAGGGCTTTTAGTAACCTTATGAAGCTTGGTGGGCAAATACAACTGTCTAGCCATTAGCATCCTAGTGAGGGATCCTTGCTGCTTAGTTGGGTTTTTTTGCAGACATTTCATGACCCAAGCTAGGCAACTGTCAGGGTTCCAAGTAATAGACTTGGAAACAAAACTCTGAGGCAGGTAGATTCCTCAAAGAATAGCTTTATTGGATATATCGTATTGGCACAGATCTGGTAAAAACCAACTCTGGAGATTCCCGCGGTTTTCACCTACTTAAAAGTAAAAGTTTCACTTTCTCAAAACAATCAGTCACATGGTCCAATCACAGTGCTGTCTGGTTGCCTGGTGACATCACTCCACCTTCCTCTGACCAGGTGTGACAATGTCCTTGGTTCCCAAGAGAAAGTTTGGCTACAAAGTCCCAGCTATCTAAAATCCCCCCCTTCCTCCCTATCCCTCAGCTCTGGTGTGGCAACACCGAAGCTTCCAAGGTGGCTTCGGTCAGCTCAGCTTCAGGATTGACAGTAACATCATCAGTGCTAGTGATGTTGTTGTTGAAGATGTTGTTACCTACTTTGGGTCATGAAATATCTGCAAGAAAACAACCAAGCTCAGAAAGCACCAAGGATTTCAACCTCATTTCAATCCTGAGCTACAAATGTTCTCCTTTATTGGTAGCATCTTAGGGTCTGTATTGCAAAAGGATTTAACTGTATTCCAGACTCAACACTCCTGCTTGGCCAACTCAACGACCCTCTTCCAGACGATGCCTTGGTAATATGTAATGCTTTGGTAAGGCCACATTTGGAATACTGCATCCAGTTTTGGTTGCCACGATGTAAAAAAAGATGTTGAGACTCTAGAAAGAGTGCAGAGAAGAGGAACAAAGATGATTTGGGGACTGGAGGCTAAAACGTATGAAGAACGGTTGTAGGAACTGGGTATGTCTAGTTTAATGAAAAGAAGGACTAGGGGAAACATGATTGCAGTGTTCCCATATTTCAGGGGCTGCCACAAAGAAGAGGGAGTCAAGCTATTTTCCAAAGCACCTGAGGGTAGGACAAGAAGCAATGGGTGGAAACTAAATCAAGGAGAGAAGCAACTTAGAACTAAGGAGAAATTTCCTGACAGTTAGAACATCAGTGGAACATCAGTGGAACAACTTGCCTCCAGAAGTTGTGAATGCTCCAACACTGGAAGTTTTTAAGAAGAGATTGGATGACCATTTGTCTGAAGTGGTGTAGGGTTTCCTGCCTAAGCAGAGGGTTGGACTAGAAGACCTCCAAGGTCCCTTCCAACTCCCTTATTCTATTCTAATGCCCAGCAAGCATCCTGCCATGTGCTCCATTAGCTGTCCACCAACAGCCTGAAGGCTTTAACCTGCTGATTCTGTCACTGACCGACACAGATTAACGTTTCCAAGGATCTGCCCTTCGCGGTTGGGTAGACTAGCCTGAATGCATGGCCACGCCAGGCTGCCCTTTCGAAATAAAAGCCAACCATTTCCCAGGTCCGTTACACTCTCTGGCATGCAGCTGCCAGCCAGCCTCTCTTTTCTGTAAAAATCTCTAGCATCTGCTAGGTGTTCCCCTTTGTTCAGCCATTGAAAATCCGAGGAGGCCAGCAGAAATAACAGCACTAGCAAACAGGAGGGAGAACCTTCCCCGTGGCTAATTATTTTCAGAAGCAAAGCAAGCCTTTGTTTGCAGAGCTCTTGGAAGGATTTTTTTTTTTTTTTGCAATAGAAAAGAAGAAAGCAAAAGAAATCTTTGTCTTTTGCGATTTCAGTCCTTCCTCCTCCCTGGTTGCAAAGCTGCTTTGTCCAAAACCAGCCAGCCTTCTCCTCTCTTTGAACATTTCTCTGCTGCATTCCCAACCCTTCTCTACTCGACCTTCAACTTTTATCCTTGGCATTGTGAGGTTTAGAGCTAAACATGATGATGTTTTATTGCAAAACAGAGAACGGGGCAATGCAGGATTGTGGTGTCGACGGTTGTTTTCTATTTTCCACACCCCCAACCAAGCATTATCGTCATCCCAAGTGTGGCATTTGTGTTCTTTGCAGTTCTTGGTATAAATAAATACCCCAATCTGCGTCCCTGCAGGAATAATAAAGAAAAAATAATATGCCATTGATTTTGCTTTGGGTGTCTAAATGCGTTTTTTATGATTGTGTATGTTTATTGCTTTTCCACACTAATGTCATGAATTCCAGGCAATTAAAAAGGACACAAATTCCAAAATGTTTAACCAAGGGAAATCTGCCTTCCAAGTGCAATGCATTAAAAGTTGCAATAATTTTAACTAGGCTGAAGCAAGAGGAGAAGTTAACTCTCATAAGCGACCATAAAAAGCGAGCATACTGTACAGTAGTACAAAAAAAATATGAACTTTTAAAAAAGATATTCAAGAGATGCCTCTTTGAAAGTTGGGAACACCAGGGACCATTTTTATCTCCATATTTAAGACCCTTTGCAATGTTTCAGGATTCGAATGCCACCCACTCAAATTTGACATCCGATATAAATATTTAGGCAATTAGGCCTAACATTACGCTAATTTCTTTTAGCTTTCCTACAGTAAGTTCTTCCAGTTCCAAAAATTGTTAACTTCATGGTGGAAATGAGAAGTATAATTAGACTTTTCATTCTGGAATAATTTTCATTCACAAACGGGCTTTAAAGTACTCCGTGGAATTGCACTCAGAAATTGTACTGTTGTACAATTATATACAGTATATCCTATATTGGGAATACTTTCATTTTTGGCAGGAGGAGGCAATGGATGGACATCCCATTTCTCATTTAATAAACTAATTGGTTACTACTAAAAATTGACAAATGAATGCCAGTCTTGTCTAACATGGGCACCCTCCATATATGTATAGGGATTGAAGTTTGCCCGTCTGAAGAGCCCCTGTGTTGGCAGAGGTTGATGGAGGCACTGAAACAACAGGATAGAATCATCACCATTAAAATACTATTAGTATTTTATACTATTAGTATAAAGCTTCATTATTTTTGAATATACTACTTTGATTTTTTGTGAATTAGCTCAATCTTTAATCAAACACACACATATACATATACAGATTCAGATACAGATATAAAGGTAAAGGTTCCCCTCGCACATATGTGCTAGTTGTTCCCAACTCTAGGGGGCGATGCTCATCTCTGTTTCACAGCCGAAGAGCCAGCGCTGTCTGAAGACGTCTCCGTGGTCATGTGGCCGGCATGACTAAACGCCAAAGGCGCACGGAACGCTGTTATCTTCCCACCAAAGGTGGTCCCTATTTTTCTACTTGCATTTTTTAGGTGCTTTCAAACTGCTAGGTTGGCAGAAGCTGGGACAAGGAACAGGAGTTCACCCCCATTACACAGTGCTAGGGATTCGAACCGCTGAACTGCTGACCTTTTGATTGACAAACTCAGCATCTTAGCCACTGAGCCACCATGTCCCTTTATATACCTACACCTACAACTACACCTACACCTACACCTACATCTACATCTACAGATACAGATACAGATACAGATACAGATACAGATACAGATACAGATACAGATACAGATACAGATACAAGAGCAGTGCTGGTGCAGTAGTTCAAATGCAGTATTGCAGGCAAACTCTGCACACTGCCAGGAGTTCAATCCTGACCAGCTCAAGGTTGACTCAGAACTTCCATCCTTCCAAGGTCGGTAAAATGAAGACCCAAAATTGTTGGAGCAATAGGCTGACTCTATAAACTGCTTAGAGAGGACTGTAAAGCACTGTGAAATCTAAGTGCTATTGCTACACACACCCAAAATATTCCGAAATTTCATTAGAGTCATCAAAACCTATGCCTAACTTTCTCATTCTTTCACTTCTGAGGCCTTTGCTCACAAGTTCTTTTCATAGCAAAACCGGGAAGCATCTCAAAATACGACACAATCCATATTCATCCCATACACCTCAGCGAAGCCCTCCTACCTCTCTACCCCAACACCCACAGATGCATATCTTAAGAAAATCCATCCTTGTCCTTTGAAAGTTTGCATTGTACGGGTATTCTCTCAGAGAAATAAAGCACAATGCACACCAGATAATTAAATCGTCCTTCTCCATGGGAGAAGCAAAATGACCAAGCGAGCATTGGAAAAAAAAAAACCCATAGTGGTGGATTGAAGCAGAAGCCCAACTGGGCAATTCTGCTCCAGACAATAACCAACTGGGTTAGTCTACTTTTCAAATAAGGTTTGATGTATGACTTCCATAGCTAAAACCGTTCAGCCAGAAAGACAGAGTTATTTTTATTATTTATCTTCATTTTCCCCCCTCCACCTCCTGAAGTAGCAAGTATTCCGTTTAATTCTTAAACTTTATCTTCTATACTCGGTGACCAAAGAATGCATCAAAATGCTGTGTGTTTTTCTCTTTCTCCTGTTCTCTTTCTTTCTTGAAATATCTTTATTAAAGAAGAAATTCCGGAAATCAAAAGCGAGCCCAATTCTGTTTGGAAATGCTACCTTCACAAGCTTCGGTTCCCCCAGCAACTCCCTCAAATGGAATCTTTAGAAGAAGAGTTGCAACACAAATTTTAATTGTGATATTTAATTAAGAGCTTAATGGCTTAAGCCAGATTTTTACAGAACAGCTCGCGCAGAGAAAGCTCGCGGAGAAAGATCTAAAGGTTTTAAGAATTGTTTTATCCGAGCTCCTGCTGGGCTCACGCAGATATGAAAAGAGAAAGCAACTTCCACCTCCTCCTTTTCTGTTTATTTTTCTAAGATGATTTTTTTTCTACCCATTAGAAGCAGCCGTTTGGAAATCATAGATTCAAAGCAGCCTCTAATTTATTCACAGTCTCCTCCTGGTCTACACTCCTTACTAATCTGGAAAATGGAAATCTAAAATTACAAAGGTAGGGATCTTGAGTGTTTTCCCAAGGGTTTGGTTATAGCAGTGGTGGATTCCTCCCGGTTCGGCCCGGTTCGGCCGAGCCGGTAGCGGTGACGATATGACGTCACCAAAGCTGGGCCCTCCCACCCACCGCCCACCGCATTATTTTTACCTTTTATTTGGCCCCACCCCCAAACTATTTGCTGCCTCCTGAGTCCCAGCTGATCGGCTAGAAGGAAAAAAAAAACTGTTTAAACTCTTGCCCCGGGGCTTCAAAGGGCCGCCCTACAGATGATCAGTGTTAAAAGGAGTCTGGTGGTAGACCAGTGCCTCCAAGAACAAATGGGTAGACCGGTACAGCTCTGCAAGCAGTTAAAAGCCTGGTAGACCAGTACCTCTGCTAAATCCTAAATAATTGTCACATGACCATCAAACCACACCCACATAATAAGCCATGGCCACAGAACCAGTAGTAAAAAATTTTAGAATCCACCCCTGGATTATAGGTATCCAAGACTGGGTTTCTCATTTCAAGAAGAAGACACCCAGCTGTCTTCAGGATTATTTCAACAAGTGAAACTAGTTAGGCTGTTGGTTTGAGCTCCAAGCTTGGCAATTTTGGTTACCGGCGTTTCGTCACCATTTGAGGACACAAACTAGTTTCCTGATTAATAGAACAGAATTGTAATTTTAAAGAGTCAACCAATATTTGTAAAGGCAAGTGCTTGTAAAACTGGCAATCTGGAAGCCAGTTAATTTTCATCTCTGTCAAAAAGACGCTGCAGGTAGTTCTCAAGTTACGACTGCAACTGAGCCCAAAATTCCTGTTCTTAA